AGCGTCGATGTGTATCAAACATGCAATCTAATCCAAACATATCCACTGACTGTTGTTAGTAATTAAGGATGCCATATGCACCTAAACAAGGCTTAAGGCTTGGTGCTACCCTGGTGGCAGTCATGGATGTGTGTCATTCAGCAGCTTTAAAAACAACAGGACTTGGATCCCACTTCCAGAACCATCTGCCAGGCCAGATCCTTCACAACCTTTCTAATGCATTCACTAGATGGCGGGTAACACAATATATACTAACATGTTTCCCGAGCAGTTAGGCTCCATAAATAAGCTGCAACTCTGATACCACCTGCAAGCTAGAAAATACGTTTCCTGTGTCCAAGCAGAAAGAAGTCATGCTTGCACAACCAAAGTCCCCATGAAGGACTGAAACAGGCACAATGGTTTAGTAACTACAGGCAGCAGAGAATAACAATTGTACCCCAGAGCTAAGAAGAACCTTACTAACCCCACTAAAGCTCCACTAACAAATACTCAGGTTATCAGCCATCATCACCTTCATCATCACCTGCCCTCCACATGGAGGATAGCATGCCTTTCTCTTACCAATTATAACTGTTCCTGAAGACAGGAGATCCTGAATGTCTCTCTGTAAACTGGGAAAAAGTGGGAGAAGAAACCCTCCCCAAAAAACCCAAATCACAGAACTGAAATCCCAAAACAAAAAGCCATCTGAATTAACACTCAAACCAGTGCAATGGTAGGACTATTTTATTTTGATGTGAATTTCAAAGCTGTGTTACTATTAGCTAGTGTTCGCCCTGTGGTTAATGACATATCATGCAATGTACCACTACCAAATAGAAATGAGCATAACATCTCTATAACGCATGCTACCTCTATAAGCAATATTAAGAGAGATGAAAATGCAATAAACTTTGTGTTTGCAGAGAACAGCTTCATTATCCCATGAAAACAGGAACATCCTACTGCTTACTAAAAAGAGCCACAGACAATTTTGTCTGCTGCTCTGACAAGCAAAATGATCTTCAGACCTCATGGATATTTATTAATCTGGCTCTAAGGCTTCTCACAGCTTAGCAAGTACACATCTGCTGACCACACATACTCAGCCTGGAGAAAAGGCATAAGTAAAACATAGTTGCTGAAATCTCATTAAATGGGTTTGAAGTCATGCATTCTAATGTCACATTTGCAATAAGCTCCAAGCTTGAAAGTAGGGAGGTACTACAGATCTGTAGTACCTGTATCTCAAGAAGTTACTGCATGAAACAATAAGGTAAACTCTGAGATGGGGTTGAAAGAATCCAAATTCCAGATCCTGTGTGACAAGAGACACCCTGGTGCTTCACAGTAGTCTGTAAGCTCTTCTCTGAAAAGACTCTTGGAGTGTCCCCAGGCTGCGTGGGTGAAAAAAGTCACTGCCCTTTGCTTTCCTTCATAATTCTTCCTAGAAATGTCCACATCTCACTCATGCAGCTGGTTCGAGCTTCTTGTCCAAATGGTCTGGATTGGTATAAACTGTTCATTTTCACCTTTCAACCAAGCTAGGCATATTCAGACAGCAGAGACAGGAGTGATCCTCTCCACCTGCAGATCAGATGGAGCAGATCCCTCTCGCAGGGGAGCAATAACAAGCATCTGGGAGCACTACAGAACAGCTGGATCTAGAGAAAAACATCAACCCACAGCACCTGCTGTTGGATGTCACTCCAGACAAGGGTTTGTCACAGGGACCAAAATACCCTCATTGACAAGAAAGATGAAGATGCCTTTCCTCCTCAGCACACATGGTTTGCACAGCTTCTTGGACACATATATTAAAAAGCCAAAAGGCTGCAGTAATACTTCTAAAACACCTGTTTAAAAAAACCCAAACCTGTAATAATTCAATGGCCAACAGTGATTTCTGAGAATCTCACTTGTGATTTCTAAACTTCAGAGACTGGCAGTACTGACAATATCAGCCTTTAAGTAGAAAGAAGCATAGGAACTGACATTAAACACAGTAAGAGTAAATTCTGAAGTGGAGATGAAGAACAACTGCATAGTATTATTATACTGTATATCAAGAGCTGTTATGGTCTGACACATGGCTAGGTTGTGGGGAGACACAGCATTTAACATTACCTTCAGTGAAGATCTCCGTGCACAGAAGTTCCCCAGTCACTGACATATGGCAGCACTTTTTGATCCTATATGCAGACTAACGACTTCAGCTACGCTCTGAAAACACCACCTTCCTCTGGGAGCCTGCACACTCTTTGCTGCAAACGCAGCAGGAACTTTACGAAGCAGCACGTGAAATTCATGTTTACGTCAGGAGATCTTCAGAGACCGCTGAAGGGACCACCTGAATCACCAGGCTTCCCCTTGTTTCTTTCAGCGGTCATTAGAAGAGATGCCAACACCCATACGCGCGTTAGGACGGCACGAACTGTAAGCAGCGCTATGAAAACCATTAGCCGACTTGACCCAGAACACCCACCGGAATTAGGATTTAGGGCTTTAAACACCTTTTCTTTCCCCCCTAGACAGCGGTTAAGCCCCGCACTGGGCACACGGACGCGCTCACACAGGAGGTGCGCCGGCTTCCCCGCGCCGCGCCAGGACCCGCCTCACCCCCACCGCCCGCGGCACCGGAGGGGCCGTACCGAACACTCCTGTCCGGCACGGAGCCAGGGCCCCCCCGCCTCTTCCATCCCCGTTCGCACCCAGGCTCCAGCGGCCGCCACGGGCTCGCGGCTCTGCGACCGCTGGAAGGAGCGGGTCGGGGAAGGACGGACACGACAACCGTTAGGAACGGCGCGCGCGGCCGGCCGGGGGGAGAGGGCACCGCTGAGGGGGAAACTCGCGCCCGCCGCCTCACCTGGAGACGCAGTTCTCCAGCACGGAGCTCTTGCCGGCGCTCTGCCCGCCCACCACCGCGATCTGCGGTAGGTCCAGCAGGCAACTCTGGCCCAGCGCCGCGAAGGCGTCCTGCAGCCGGTTGACAAGCGGGATAAGCCCCTCCATCCCGCCGCGCCGCCTCTCTGCCGCTGACAGGTAACAGGCGGCTCACTGCGCATGCGTGCCATCCGCTAGGCGGGAGGCGGGGCCTCCGCGGGGGGGCCACGCCCCAGCCCAGAGCTGGTCGGTGCGGCTGCGAGCCGGACCCACTGTGGTGGGGTCCCGTTTGCCCTTCCTGCTGCCCCGCAGTGCCAGAGCCTCCTCCCGCCGGTCACCGGCAGAGGCCAGCAACATCCAGGGAGCATTCCCGGGGTCCCCCCGGCAGCCTGGAGCCGCCGGTCATCCGCTGTCCGCCCGAGAGTCTGGGTGCACTCCTCCCCGCACGTGGACAGGCTGGCCTCGGTGCTGGGACCCTTGGGGGCAAGGCCCACTGTCCACCCAGGTCCACGTACCGACCACAGACCGCCACACTGCTCCTCTCCCCCAAAGCCTCGACCCTAGCCAGTCACCCTATAGCAGGCACAGGGCCATGCCCCGCTGTAGCATCCGCTGGCACCCCGTGGAGGTTTGCTTGTGCTCCTCCTGTACGAGTTTGGCATTAAACTAGAAACAGGGCCAAACCAGGAGCTCACAGAGGAGCTGGGTCCCACCTGCCAGCATGGGACCTGGCAGACAGTTGGCTTCAGCACTTCCCAATCTACTGAGCAGGATATTTTGGAGCAGTCCCAATGGTTGAATTCTTCTCAGCTCTCGCCCACAATGGGAACGGAAGCAGGGGAACCATGACCCATCCCCACAGCACATGAGGGACCCTGGCAAGCAGCACCAATGTTCATCCATGGGCAGGAGCGTGGCCAGGGTCAGACACGTGCTAATCAGAACCATGCCATGGCAGGCCTGAGAAGCCAGGTCCAGCAGGGCTGGTAGCAGGTGGATGGATCAGGAACAGGCTGGAAAGCGATAACAGGATCTGAGCCACATCACTGCAGTGGGTTCAATTAACAGTGCGTACTGAGGCTGGGCTAAAAGCACAGGCGAACAACAGAGACTAGATTTGCCTGTGATTACTGGCAGCAGTCACAACACAAAAATATCCAAAACAGAGGCTTTAGAGTCCTGCAGTGATAAAAGTTACCCTCTGTATTAAACCAGACACCAGCCTTGCTCAGCATGTAAAGCAAAACAAAAGGGAACTGCGAACATCCCACAGACTAACATATACTGATGATCTGGAGGATTATCAAAACTTCTTGGCCAGAGCTCCCAATAAGGGTAAAAAACTACTCTTCACAACTGAATGACTTCTAACCCTGGAAACAAATGAACAGTTTAATTTAGCTCTGGATGAAAAGTTTCTAATCAGCATAATGCAGAGAGCTTCACAGAGTGGCAGTCACTTTGCCACTGAGGTTAGATCGACTCCCCAGCACCACAGCCTCTGGGAAAATCCTCCCGATGATCTCTATCTAGAGAAGGCCTGGGGCTTACTGACATTATTATGCCAATTAGCCGCATGGTTATTTTTTCCACACTCCTAAGCGAGCAGGCTATGCCAGGAGGCACTACACTAGCTGCCTGGCCTTCCTCCAGTTCATGGGTTTCTACAGAGGCTGGAAGCTGGGAAGAACAGTATTATGCTCTGGCCAAATCCACCCTCTGTGACCAGTGGAGCACTCTGTGCTGCCCCAGTGAGATAATTAAGATCAGTAGCAGAGCAGCCAACAATAGCATTGCTTCTTCACAAGAGACAAATGAAGATTAAAAAAGGTGCAATGCCTCTGGAGCAACGCTATGTACACCTGCAAATTGATAACCCCAGGAACTGTCCTGTCCATTAGGTCTTTAAATTACATCTTTCTTTGCCTCAGTAATTAAGAAAAAAAATATTTAAAACATCTATAAATATCTGTGATTAGGAAAAGTTAGTTACTCCCCCAAGTCTGGGAAGTTTCCAAACTAAACATTTTTGTCTGTAGAAGCTGAGTTAAAGCTGCTTAGAGACCACACTTGCCCTACAACTCCATCACTTACAAAATCCACACCCCAGAAAAAAAGCCACAATCAGCCAAATATAGAAAAAGCACAAACATTTTCATTATGCATGCCCACATTATCAAGAGGGTGCTCATTTTTCCAACAATTTCAAGACAGCAATGAAGAAAAGAGGAAGGGCACCTGAGCGAACCCTCAGGTCTCTGATTTTTCTGTCTTCTCCAGACAGCTTGTCCCAAACCCCCATGCAGAGCCCAGCCTGGCTTTCTGAATTTGCTGATTCAGAGTGAATAAATTAAAAGGGATTGTACTAGCAAGAGACCATTGCAAAGCTTCTTGCAATAACCTGAATAACCCTGGAAAAAAAGACCCAAACCAGCATCAGAGGGCCATGCAAATAAACTCTTTTCCTGTGGAGCACCAGGTACAATTCCCAGGAACACAGAGCTGAATTGCTCACTGGTTAGCACCTAAACATGCTCTGTTGTTAACCTGCGCTCAGTTTTGCCCCATGGTTTTTATCATTTCCTTTGGCCACATGCCAGGCTTGGCAAGGAGAAACGACCTTCCGCAGCCACATTTCCCCAGCATGGAGGGAAGGGTGCCCTGCTCCCCAGGGGGGCAGGCCAGCCCCACGAGTACCGCTGCCTCTATCAGTGTAGTCTGTTCGCTTCCATATGTCACCAGCTCTTGCACAGCTTGCCAAGGATCCCTATCTTGCTAAAGCCTCCAGTGCAATTCAGATCAAGCCTACAGACAGCAAGTTTGTCCTTCCCTGATTTCAAAAAAAATATATATGGCAAAAATAGTCTGGCTTCAGGGTGCAGCTGTAGCATCTGAGCCACAAACTTATATCCACAGACACTTGCTCCTAAACAGGCAGTGTGATGTTAAAACTGAGGACATTTGGATCAGATCCCCAGGCTGCTTTATAAACACACACCAGTGCAATTCATTTCATGAAAAATAGGTTATATATAAACTACCAGAGTGGAGCTTTGCAGACACCTGCAGTGAAGAGCCAGGCATGCTCCCCTGCCACAAGAGCAGGCAGGACCCCAGGGGAAGCAGAGCACCAATGAGGCTGCATCCTCTCTCCAGGAAGTATTTAGAAGAGGCAGGCTCCTTCATGAATAATCTCTCCAGGGACTTTCCTCACCTCATTCTTGCTGCAAATACAGACCCAGAGTCTTGCAGAGCTGTTCAGGCAGCTGATGGGCACAAAGCATGAGGAGATGTGGGCAAGGAGCCCCATGCACAGGGGAGCAACCAGGGTCTCAGCAGCACTTGGCTCTGTAGTGCTGGCATGAAGGTCCCAGTCTGCATTATGCCTGTATACTTGGAGGAGAGGTCAGACCTTGAAGCTGCAAAAGACACAAAGCCAGAAAAAGAAAGCCAGAGTGCTTTCCCCCTGTAAAGAGGAGGCTTTCTGCCTCTCCCTTGCAGCCTGTGGCAATTCTGACACTCAGATCACAGAACTGTGGCACCCCCCATTCCTATCCTATCTGGCATGGTGGCCTCTCCCCTATCCTGTGACCTCCAGCTGCATCTTTTAATTGGATGCATCTAGTTGCAGGGCAGAAAACAGCCACCGTGCTGCAATGCAGCCTGCAGAGGTGTTTCCTGCAGCCCTGGGTACCCCAGGAGAGAGCTGTACTCCCTTGCTGCAGCCTGGCAGCATGCCTGCTTCCTTGGTCACAAAGACAGGCAAGCCAAGTACTTTGCCAAGGGAACATTTCATGCACAAAATATTTCCCAGGCACTTCCAGCCTCTGGGATGCGGCTGTTGCAGCCCTTGCTGTGCTGTGATCCTGCCATGACCAGGCAGCAGCAGCATCCTGGCCAGGCTCACCCCACAAAAACTCTTCCCAGCCAGAGGGGATGAGCCTCTGTGCTCAGTCCCTGCACCTTTTATAACTGCAGAATCTCTCCCAACTGCTTGAAATATTTTTAGCCAGTGCCAATATGTCCCCATCCACATCCACCATCTTCCTGAGAGCCCAGCCACTTCCAGTCCTTCTGAAGAGCTGGGATCTGGGCTGTGACACCTGAGGAGTTACACCATATGGACTATATGCGTAGCACACCGCTACTGCCTGCCTCATAGTCTACCTTGCCAGCTGCCTGGCCACAGAGTCACCCTGGACTAAAGAGCCTTCATGGCTGGGCACAACCAGCTGTATCCTTGCACCCAAGATGACAAAACCCAGGGCTGACCCGTTAACTTCCAGTGCCTTGCCCACTGGAGCAGCAGCAGGACACAGATGCAATGCTTCAAGAGGGATTCAGGCTGGACCAGACAAAAGCACCCCTAGCTGGCTGCAGCCTCAAGCCTTAGCCATGTGATGAGGTATGTGACCATCTCTTTTTGTGCTGGGAAGTCCAGGAAGGAAAAAAGTCTACATCTCAAAGCCAGCGGAGTTGCTAAGTGACAGTAGAGCTTGTTTCTATCCCACCACTTACAGCATGCCTCCGCTGCAAAGGAAGGAAGTGAGGAGTGAGGGATGTAAACATGAGTATACTGCCAAAACACTCAACAGAGACACAGTTGCCAAACATATACACTAGCTGCATGTTTTGGCTGCCAAGAGAGAAATATTTACTATACATCAGTTATTCCAGCCTTGGACCATTCTACCTGCAGAGAAGGATTTCAGATATTTGCACCACTCATGAATTTCTAATTTTCCAGCTGAAATGTATTTCCAGACCAAACTCGTAGGGCTGTCAGTAGCTGCAAGGACAGCTGCAGTGAACTGAGATTTCATCCTTTCGTTGTTTCAAATAGATGGCTTTTGTTTTCTCACCAGGATGTGGCCTTATGCAGCAATTAGGAAGCACAACAGAAAGGCAGGACGGGACAAGGGAGGAATGAACGCAGCCTTTGTGTGAGTTCCTGGGGAGAAAAGGAGATGGTTTCTGTAAAGTAAAGGACACATACACAAACCTATGTTATTAGAATTATGTTGAGAATTGAAAACTAAGTTAAAAATAGACTAAATGCAACACTGCTGATCCAGCTGAGAAATTTTAGTGGGCCATTGCTAAGCTGGATTGATAATAGGTATCTTTCAGAAAAGTGCTTATTGCACATGAGCTTTAGGAAGTAACTGCTTGGGGGCAAGTACACTTCCACCCAGCTCAAGCTCCAGCTTTGTCTCTCCCACTGACAAGCACCCACATGCTGCTCTGAACATACTACAGCAAGAGGAGTGACTGGGCGGTGAAGCAACATATAGAGGGCACGTGCCCATTCTGCCATCCTTTATCTGAGGCAGGGAGCAGGCCACCCCTGCTCTCCAGAGCCTGGGAACCATCAAAAGTACTTAAAAAAGCATCTGCTCCCAGCAGGCCAGCCCAGGGAGAAGTAGGACACCGATTTGTCCCTCTGAGTGAAGGCAGGTAACATTGGAGAAATCATCTGAACAGAGAAGTTTCCAAAGTAGAACCTGGTGGAAAAACAAAATGCAGCCACCACAGTTGCTATCAGAGGGATGTGCTCATTATCAGTGTGGCTGACATAGTGCCTCCTGGGCACAACCAACCCCACCTCCTGCATTTTCATGGTGGCCTTAATCCCCACCAGTTCAGGGGGCGAGAGCCCTTGGGAGTGCCTTGGGAAACTGCAAACCCTTGGTTCTCATGCACCCTCTCATTTGGTTTTCCAAACCCAGGATTTCCCCACAGGTGGAAGAGAGCTGGTTCCTGACGAGGAGGTAGAAGCTGATGAGTGTGCAGCTCAAACATCCCAGGGGGACATGATGCAGGACCTGCAAAGCTGGTGAGATGGTTCTGGCAGTGATGCTGAGATGAGGCTGCTGTTGCCTTTGTGGCAACAGCTAGGTCAGATCCCTCTCTGAGCTGCTTCTGGTATGTTGTTACCACCGTGGGATGTGGAAAGGTGGCTGGAAAGGGTTTGCTTTGGGAAGCAGCTATCTGAAAGATGCTCTTGCGCAGGATGCCAGAGGCAGAAGAAAATATGGGGTGAGGGTACTGGGTCAGTGTCAAAGCTGCATGGTGCCTGAGAAGGTTGTTACCTTGATGTCTACAAGCCAGCCACTTTGGTTAACATATCTGACTCATGTTGGTACCTGCTGTTGTAAGGAAGAAAGAAGAGCCCCCCTCCCAAATAGCTTCTGATGAATGTGGGAGCACCAGCGGGTCAGCTGCTCTGTAACCAGCCAGGATGCATGGGTCAGCTGTTAAGCTAAAACTTCACAGTGAAAGACCAGGCTTTGAAACTCTGGGGAAGAATAAAATAAGCCACCTGGGCAGAAATGGGATGCTGGACCAGGACAGGGGAAAGCAATGCACATCCTTCTCATCCTGTGAGAAAGCTGACCTGTGCCAGCTGGGCAAGCAGTTTGGTGTGCCCAGGGGAAAAAACACAGGGCTGGGTCCCTGCTGGCCCAGGGGCATGAAAAAGGGTTGGAAACATAAGGGGTTACAGTTAACAGTAGCAATGGCTGAAGAGATGCAGAAAAGGGGCAGGTACATAGCAGGGTACAGTTTGGGGAAAAGTGGTGAATGGGCAGTGCAGTACAGTGGGCAGCTGGCTGCCCCCAGAATGTGCCCTTGAGCAGTGGAGGTGACTGTACCTTTTCAGGGGTGGTGAACACTCCAGAAATAAGCCTAGCAAAGCACTGAGGGCCTTGAAGCAGCCCTGAGCACTTTTATTTTCACCACTCCCAGTGCACCCACACACATTAACAATCAGGCTTAGGGCAGGGCTGAGGGCTCTGAACAAACACTAGTGACCAGGGATGCTGAGGGTGAGGCAAGGCAGCATCGGAGGGAAGGAGCTGTGCTGGAGGGGAAGGGAACAGTCAGAGGGACATTTTCCCCCACAATGGAAAAACAATAGGGATAGACCCAAACCCACAGTCCTGCAGCACCTTCTTCTCACCACCCCAACACTGCCCCTTGGGCTGCACAGCCTTCCAGGGTCCTGGATCCCTTCCCAGGGAGTGCCTCCCTATGCCAGTCACATCCTTCAGATACACCTAGGCCAGCAGCAGCCCACTGGGGGCAGCAGTCCCAGCCATGGGCACCCCTCTGCTACGGGGCCACAGCACCCAAGTGAGGACTCTCCCGTTCAAGTGGCATCACAGCCCCTCTCAGAGGATCTTGACAGCCTGCAGCATGTCTGCCAGCACGTATGAGTTGTCCCAGGGGCGCCCAGGCTGCCGCAGAGACCCCTCCAGCAGCCGGGCACGTGCCCCCAGCTCTGGGGGGTCCCACTGGCTCTCAGGGCTGAGCTGGCAGAACAGGATCTCATTGACCTCCCCTTCAATGCGCCGCACGTAGAGCAGCGGGAAGACCTCCCTGAGGGTGGCCAGGACTGACTCCTTCAGCTGGGCGTCGCGGCACACCAAGTTGAGCACGAAGACTCCTGCAGCAGGGTGAGAGGATTGGAGTTCAGACCAGCCTGTGTACCCTGCCCTGTTCCCCACCTCCCTGTGGGAATGCAGCTGAATTGGTGCCAGTCTGCTGCAGACATCCCCACCATGGCAGCACAAGGAGTACTGCCATTCCCACAGTGCCCTTGGCTCAGCTCCATGTCCTTGCCGCCACACTGGTTGTGGGTGGCCACAGGATCCGTTCCCAGATACCGCCTGCACCATCTGCCTTCCCCCAACCTTTCCTGGCCCCACAGGATGTCTCAGCCTGCCTGACCCAGCAGCACCACCCTGGTCCCTGCTGTCACAACACCCACTGAAACACCCAGATCCATGAGCTGCCAGCAGTGGGGGATGCCACATAGCAATCCTGGATGCAGCCACTATTCTCCAGGATGAGAAATGGTGGCAGTCCCATTACTCAAACTCCACACAGGACAGGGCAGCCTGGCTGCAGAGATATGGCCAGATCTCCCCTTTTACCTTCTGGCTTGAGGATGGCTTTAACCTTCTGCAGAAAGTGCTTTTCCACAAAGGCTGGGGGCGGGCAGCTCATCCCCACTGTGAGGTCTTTGCTGTCCACATCAAACATGATGGCATCGTACTGGGCTGAGGCTGCAGGAAGGAGTGCAGAGACTTGTTAGCCCATGGGACAGAGATAAGCCATGCACATTGGGAAGGCAATGAATGTGGTGGTCAAGACACTCCTTCTGCCATGTTATGGCAACTTCTCTCCCTTGGAGTTTCCAAATGAAACGAAAGGCAGCAGCCCTCAACACTGGGGGAGGCAGCAAATATAAGTCCCCTGCACATGTTGGCAACGACAGGCCTGCGAACTGCAGAGACCTGGCAAGGCTGGAGCTCATGACACATGGCAGGAGATAGGCAGGGATGGGGAAGCAGAGGGTGAAAATAGCTCCAGTCCCCAGCAGGTCACCCAAAAGGCTTGATGGGGTGCGTGGGATGCTCCATGATACGGTACCTTCAGCTGCCAGCTTGGTCACATAGTCCAGGCCATCAGAGACGTGCACCCGCATCCGGTCATCCTGGGAAAAGCCGAACCAACGTGTGGCCACCTCCAGCATGGAGGGGTCAATCTCCACCACGGCCACACAGGCCTGCGAGAAGTAGTCATGGATGAAGAGGGGCAGGCTGCCCCCTCCAAGCCCCACCACCAGCACTGCCAGCAGGGCTCCTGCCAATGGAGAGTGTACAGTGAGCCACCAGGATGGCAATGTTCCCACAGCTCCTCCCACACACCCACCTCCAACCACTGGGAAGGGTGCATGGGTCACTTTGGCCAGGAAAGCCTTTCCCCAAGCATCTGAGGCATGAGGACATATGGGTGCCTGCCCCTGGCATGGCCTTGTCACCTGAAAGGGGGTCAGGGCCCCCCAGCAAGCAGAGCCCTGCAACCATGGCCTTGTGGTGCTCGCAGCACAGGTAGCTCTTGTCAATGGCTCCAGGTGGCTCAGCAAGGCTGGGCTTCTTCTTGTCCTTCCTCCGTTTCTTCTGGCCTGAATGACAGGAGGCATCAGCTTGTAAGGCATGGTGGAAGACAGGGGTAGCAACCCCCAACCCCTGTCCCACCCACAAGGCATACAGCAGAGTGTAGAAGAGCTCCCCAGGCTGCTTCAGGACATGGCAGACAAGTCTCAGAAGGACTTTTATCCTCCTCCTGTATCAATCTCACTCTCTGCCACCCCAAAAAGTGACCCTTGGCCCCTACCCCTTCCTACTTGCCCCATATACCTGGGAGAGGGGTGCGGGCCAGGAGCCGAGCCTCAGACTGGACCACGTTCCTATTGCTGAGGAAGATGAGGCGACGGAAGTAGCAAGTGCCATCCCCCTTCACATCCTCCACAACATACTCCCCACTCAGGGGGCTGGTGTCACAGTGCCGCAATGTCCGCACCCCAATGTCCCCTCCCACAGACAAAAAGGGCACCTGCAGGAAGAACAAGGGACTAGTGTGAGGAAGGAAGGGCTACAGGAACAGACCCTGGCATTGCTGCTAAATAGCAGGGACAAAGCAGGCACAGTGTAGCAGAAGTAGGAATTACTGTAGGCAGCCATAGGGAAGCTGGGGACACCAGCTGTCCTCCTGTACACACGCACTGGGGTACAGGGAGCAAACACCCCAAGACTTCTTACAAGAGCTCAGGTTTGAGGAGTTGGGGCAGGAAGAAGGAGACAGAAGGGACAGAAGTTAAAGCCAGGATTAAGAAGGCACCAGGTGTTTCAGGATGCCTGGTTTCCTTGGGATGCTGTTTTTTTTTGAGAGCAAGGAGTTCACACTGAATCCTTCTGTGCAGGCACCTCAAACCCTGCCTACAAGCAAAGGCAGCCAGCTGGAGGGAAAACTGAGAAGAGCTGCACCTGGGCAGTCTCCTCCCGACAAAGGCAGCCAGCTAATGCACTGCAGCTTGGCCTCCCTTGGAAAAAGAGGGATTTGCTGCTGGCAAAAAGCCAACCTGTCTCCAGTTTTGGGGAAGCCAAGTGAGGGGGGCCAGGCAGTGAGTCTCACCTGCTGCCGGGCAGGGAGGCCCGGAGGGGCCAGTTCCATCACTTTTCCTGATAGCTCCGACTGGATGCTGGCCATGCCCTCGTAGTGCTGTTCCCTGTGCAGGGCCACTGTGACCAGGCGTCCAAAGCCCGCGCTGGTGGCCAGCTGCCTCCGCCCTTCCTCTGTCCCAAAGAGCCACTCCGTTTCTCTGCCCTGTGGGACTGCAGAAGGGGCTGCCATCAGCCTGTGCCAGTCCCATAGTGAACACCCCAGCTTCTGAGAGAGGAGCCACAGCGAATGGCAACACATCATGAAGATGTAATGCTGGATGCCTAGAGCTGTGCTCGGCAACCATTAAGAGAGCAGGGACCTCCCCCATTTTGGGCAGGTTCACACAGGAGGCTGGAAAAGCTATGTCTCATAGGAAGGGGGTGTCCAGCAGCCTCACAACCTGTCTCCAGGCTGTGCCAACCCCAGCTTTGCAGGTGCATCAGGAGGAGAGTGCTGATGGCAGAACCTGACGTGCCTCCAGGAGATACAAGCACAAAAGCAAAGCACAGGCCCAAGCAGCCTGGCCCTGGCACATCAGAATGCCCACACAGAGCAGAGGCTTTTTTGTCTGCATCTGCTGTGGTGTGGATTTATGCAGTGATGTGCTATGGTGACGGTCACCAGGATCAAGGCAGAAATCACCACCTTGGAGGCAGGGCAGGCAGCATCCCTCTACTGCCAGATGGGCACCTACTCAGTCAGCAAGCTCTGTGCCAGATCTCTGCCTGCACTACCAGGCAAACACATGTCCCACCATGAAGCCAAGACTAAATATCAACCAAACCCTGAATAGCCATGTTATTTCCTTCTCCAGCCCCAATTTCAGCAGGGCCAGTATCACTGGCCATTTTGCAACTCCTGGTCAGAGCACTGTCTCATTGCAGACAGGACAAGCTGTACTTACTGATGAAGATGGCGAAGGAATTGTCCTGGGAAGGTTTCACTGAGGAGCTGTCAACCACATGCAGCGTGTAGCGAGGCCTCCCGCTCTCTCTGTCACACAGATCCACGGAAACCTGCTCCTCACAAGGTGTTTTGCTCAGCTGGCTGCAGAGCAGGGCATAATGCTGCCTGTCCTTCACTGCTGCCACCAGCCGCTCCACACTCTCCAGCCGCATGGGCTTGTCCTGCTCCTCAGAGCAGATCTCCAGGATCTGTGGTGCCGAGCCAGTGATCTTCCTGAACTTCGTCATGACGTAGATGAAGACTGGTAGGACAAACTGCTGCTTGTCCCCACTGTCAGCCACCTGATGGACACGCACAACCCAGCCTTCCTGGGAGAAGTATTCGACTGCTTTCTTCAGCACATGGGCTTGAGCCAAGGAAACACAGAGGTAGCGCCCTCCTACCTGCAAGACCCGGTTGATCTCACCAAACATCTTATCCACCTTAGCTAGAGTGGCCTCCTCTTCATCAGTGAGGATAGTATCCAGTGTGCCTTTGTCCAGGACCACATGAAAGTGAGCATCAGGAAAGTTCATCTGAAGCACATCCATCAGCAGATAGCTCATCTTCGGCCTCTTGCTCCTGCTCCGCTCTTGCATTTGATGGATTACCGCATTATTGATGTCGATGTTCACAATGTCCTCGCACATCCCCACATCATACATCTGCTCACTCAGTTCCGAGTTCCCACAGCCCACTACCAGAACCTGGGGAGCAGCACAAGAGCAGCGCGATGGTGAAAACACCCTGGAAATGTGCCCCAAAGCATTTTACAAGCAAATATCAGCCACGGCCACGAACCGTCTGTAAGAACCACACTTGCAAACCCGTTCTCGGGGGCCCTAAGATAACGTTTCCAACCCTAACAATTCTGTGATTTCCACATAGAAAAGTCACACAGGCACAGAAGCGACGGACCCGCTGCATCTCGGCTGGGGACGATTTGGGTGGTTTAACCCCCTGAGCTCCCCACGCCGGGAAGTTTAAGCCGGGTCACGGCGGCGCAGAAGTCGCCGCGCAGGAGGGGTCCGGCCGGGGGAAGGCTCAGCCCGGGGACACCGCGCTAGGTACCGGACAGGGCTCACCTTATCGCGTGGCCGGACATACTTGCGCAGGACGGGGCAGAGCTCGGGGAAAGCCCCGTACCACTCGAAGGAGCGCTGCCCGCGCTGCCGGAAGAACCGATCCCAGTACCGGGCAGAGCCGAACTCCCTGGGGCTGCGGGGCAGCAGCTCCATGCCCGGCCAGCTCCGCACCCGCTCCCGGTGCACGTGTCCCCCCGCGCGTGACGCCATCAGAGTGCGCAGCGCGCTCATTGGACACAGCGGACGATTGGCTGCGTGTCCCGTGCCGCCCCCCCCCCGCCGAGACCAGCCGGGCCTCATCTCCCCTCATCGCAGCGCGGGCAGCCCCGACTCGTACCTCCGCGGCACCGCGGCCTCCCCTGTGCCACCCAGCAGGAAGGGCGGCAGGGAATGCCCGGGCAGGAGCGGGGCGCCCCCAGGCACAGCGGCCCCCGCGCCACAAGCGTGCAGCCCCCCACGCGCCGGGCTCTGCAGCACTGCTGACGCAACAAAACGAGGCAGGGAAAAAGGTATCAGTGGCTCCAAAAGGAGCAGCTTTAATATCAGCCCACAGAGAAACGGAGCTCCCCCAGGGCTGCGTGTGACAGGGAGAGCCACGGGGCAACTATGGAGGCTAGCTGGGGCCTGAGCGGGGCTCTGTCGAGTTGCTCTGATGAAAGAAGGCAGAGAGCTCACTCAGCGCTCTGTAACGGTGCGAGATGGAGTTCTTCACTGCTTTGGGCAGTTCAGCGTATCTGGAAAGAAACCACAGATCTCAGCAGCAGAGATGCTACAGCAGGGCTCATCATTGTCCTATCCTCTCCCGTCCCCCTCTGCTCACTGCAGGTGACCCTGCTTGGCTGAGGCCTGTAGTGACAGGCTGGCAAAGCAAACAATCCCAATCTGGATCCAGGAGTTCCTGTAACCTGCCACGTTCAGATCCAGGAGGGCGTTTTCCCCCTCCCACCCTCCTTCGGAAGCATGTTCCTCCTGACACACAGCCTTGACCATTTAGATTGGATATAAAGAGGAAGTTCTTTACTGTAAGGGTGGTGAGGCACTGGAACAGGTTGCCCAAGGAAGCTGTGAATGCTCCATTCCTGGCAGTGTTCAAGGCCAGGTTGGACAGAGCCTTAAGTGACATGGTTTAGTGTGAGATGTCCCTGCCCATGGCAGGGGTTCGGATCTTGATGATCTTAAGGTCCTTTCCAACCCTAACTATTCTGTGATAAATCACTTAGGTGAAACACCACTCACGTCTGGTTGTAGCCATCTGGTTGAAAGCAGGGATCCCAGCCAAAATCTCGAGGGCCTCTGGGCTCCACTATCAGCCCCTACCACAAGAAAGTAAAAGAGCCCTGTGAGCCATGGTTTTGCAGCTTTGCAGTAGCATTTCAAACACAGACTAAAGAGCTACATGCAGATACAGCTCACACTGTGGTCACCACAGGCTCACTGCATTGATGCTGTCTCCCTCCCAGGATGTGAGCAAAATTAGCAGCCCCAAACTAAGCACTCCATTGCGGTGCCCTGTGTTGACAGCACCTTTACCCCCCAATTAACAGAACTAACATCTGCACTCAAATACAACCCTGCCAGGGGGAGATGAGGAGGCTGAAGAGACTGTGGTAACACGGAGTTAGGTGCATACAGCTGAGTGAAAGGGCTGCAGCATTCCACACCCACCACCTGCCCTCTCCATCAGCCTGTTCCCAGCTTCTCCCATGGAGAAGCTCTGAGGGCATTTGGTGACCCAGGGTTCACTAAAATTGTCAACAGAGACAATGCTGTCAAGAGAATTTGCAGCCCTCCTCCCTCAGCATGTTCCCTCCCTCGGCATGTTCCCTCCCCCAGGCACACCACCTACATGAGTCTGGCCTTTGAACAGCTTCACTGGCTCGTCTGGGTTTCCAGTGCTGAACGCGAAGGTACAGAGAGCGTAGGCAGATTTGTCTTCAAACCCAGCCAGCAGCTTGTACAGGCCTGAGCAACACAAAGGATCCCGCGTTACAGCCTCTCTCTCGGCGCGCAACACACCTACCTAGAGACGGATTGAGGGAGCATTCTACAGTCACAAGAAGAAAAACTAGCAGAGGTGACAAAGCTCAGGCACAAGGATACTCTTGGCTGGGTCCCTCCTATGACTGAAGTCAAAGCCTCTGATCTAACACAGAGTGAGCAGGACCCCGCTATTAATTTGTGAGTGAAAGCAAATGAGCACACAGCAGCAGAGAGGACTAAAGCTCACTCTGAATTAGCATGATTAACAGTCGTGCTCATGATGCCAGCATGGGATTTGCAGCCACACTCTTAACTACAGGATCAAAAGCAGTCACTGCACACCAGGGGTGGTGAACACTAGTGGAGATGGGCTTGCACAGAAGCCAAAGGGAGCAGCAGTACTTCCAGGTCACACTGATGACAAACAGGAAGTTTCCACACACCCTGCCACCATCCTGTGGAAGCAGGAGTCTGGGAATCCAGCAATGATGCCAAAGCTACTGGGAGGAAAAATGTCACATGAAGAAGAGCACAGAACAGGATGAAGAAAGGAATGCAAAGGGACAGAGCTGGACAGATAGGAAAGGAACTGGCTGTGAAACAGACAGAATGATGTGCAAGCACACCCAGCAGAACCCAGCACAGGCAGGGATCCATTTTGAAAAGGACTGAGTTACATGCAGAGCAGTAACATGGGAAGCAGTACCTTCTGGTTTGAGTTTCTCCAGGAACCATTTTCTGAAGGGGAAGAACAGAGGGAAAATTCATTTTTGCTGCTATTACCTCAGCAATACAGGAATCTTTGAGACACTGTTGCCTACATTTTCAAAGTCCTTTAATCCCTCTTAAATGTGCTGTCAAATCACCTCCTTCTGGACTACTTACCAATGATAACAGACTCAGCTCTTAAACCGAAAGGGACACAGTGAAAACAGCAGTGGAGTATTTAATTTACTGCAGTACTGGGGTCTAGGTAGATAACCCAGCTCTCAGTTATGAGCACTGACATATGAAAACACATTTCTTAACATGACTTGTTCACATCTTACACTCAGTTCTAGTGCCAAGTCCATCATATAAAGTTTTTCTGTCTCTGCTTAGCTCAGCAGAGATAGTTTGGAAGAATTAATCATGCTAGAAGTTAATTCCAGAAGCTAAGGCAGCATTTTGTTAGTGGAGTTACACTGTAATATAGTAATCTTGTAATCTGCTGGATTAAAGCACTCCCTATGAGAACCTATAGGCTACTCAGCCCAGAGTCCTGCTGAAATACATGGTACCTTAACTACACAGAGCCCTGCTGTGGCACCATATTCCCAAATTGGCTGCAAGAGCAGGCACTGTAGATCAGAAGCCAGAGCCAACAGTTCAAGTCTGTTTCTCTTGTCCTGCACCATGACTTTCAGCAGGGCTCATAGAGTTAAATCCAGTCCCTGGGGTGCAGGATGAAGCTGAGAACACAGACCAGTAATCACCTCCCTGACCCTACTGGCCCTGGCACATGGAGAATCCCCTGTAAAGCATACCCTGCCAGCCTGCACTCTTAACTCCAAAGCACGAAAGGTGAAGCAAGGTCCTTCCTACTTACATGTAAGGTCCTGGAAGCCCCCCCAGGGCATTGAAGCACAAGCAGGTATCCTCTACTATAACAGGTGCCTGAACCTACAGCGAAAGCCGAAGAGATGGAAACTTTAGACCTAAAGGAAGGCACGACCTCAAAACCCATTTTCTTGCGCTATCCTATTCTCACATTTCCCCAATAACAGGAATATCACAAAAATTCACCAGTCATTAGAGCTGTTTACCTCAAAGGCAATACACACCAGACAGTTAGAATCAAACCCATGCTCTCCTGAGGCAGGCCAGAGGGGCTGAAGAACAGCAGGAAAGATCTCACATGGAAAAAAGAGAGCAGAGCTGAATACCCCCTGTCTTCCTGGGGCCCAGGAATTTCCCAGGAAAGGGAAAGCCTGTGTCCTGGAGGAATGCCTGCATTTTTCTTGAGTCCCAGTGCTCGCTTGGTTCTTTTAAGACACCCATCACAGAGACAGCTCTGGAAAGTGATCCATCAGAAGCTCCAGCTCACAGAAAATCCTGTATGCTGCTGCTGCTTGAGCTGGACTGAAGGAGCTGTCATATCCTACTGCTGCTCGAGGGACACAGGAGGCCAAAGGAACAGCAGGACAGCCAGAACACTGTCACCAACAAGAAGTCACCATCACCTGAAGGCCAGAAACAGCTGGGTGATGGGAGCGCAGCGAGGCCAGACCAGGCCCAGATGTACCCCTTACTCTCCTCACACTGTCCCGGGTGCCGAAGTGCCCCCGGCTGCCTCCTGTCCCGCCGGGGCTGGGGTTTCCCCGCATCCTCACTACCGCCCCGACCGGCGGGAAAGGGGAGAGAGAAAACGAGAGACCTGCCGGGCGGCTTCGCGGCACTTCTGCACGGAGATCTCGTCTGGCTCCCCCTGGTACTCCGGCACTGGGAACACAAACACCGGTGGTGAGGACACCGCCGAGCCACGCCGCACCGGCGCCTCCCCACCAGACCCGCCGCCAACTTACAGTCAATCTTCTTCGCCACCAACGTGTACGGACAGGAGTCCCCGAGGATCTGAGTGACCTGCGGAGGGAGCAAGGAGGAAAACCCGCCCGTCACACCCCGGCCCCGGCCAGGCCGCACCCGCCGAGCGTTGCCAGGCAACCGCCCCCACCTCCTCCAGCTTTTTGGCGTTGCCCGTCACGAACACCACGCTCCGCCGCACCGGCGCCGCCATCCTCACAGCCCAAGGAGTCGCGCTTTTGTGGCGAGCAGCCAATCAGCGCCGGCAGCGGCAGCCGGCACCGCCGCACACGGCCAATGGGGAAGGCTCCCGACCTTCCGGTCCTCCGAGCGCTTGCCACCCTGCTGTGCGCAGCGTCGCCCGTGCGCATGCGCGGGAGCGTCGCGGGCAGTCCCGCGAGAAGCTCCGAGGGGTGGCCGGGCCCTGTCTGCCGGAGGCCGGGCGCGCAGAGGGCGCGCAGCGGGCGCGCAGCGGGCGCTGGCCCCTCCATGGGTCGGCGGGGAAGTGTTCCTGCGCTGTGTGCGCCCGCTGTCCCCGGTTATCTCCCCAGCGTTTGGCAGCCGCGGCCGGAGGAGCACACTGCCTGTGTTCCCTGAGGTGTAATCACACGTAGTTCGGGGAATCGGGCAGCGGATCGTGCTCCATACTCTGCTGTTACTCCCGCCCGGCCTCTGGCATGTCTTTGCACTCTCTGCCGCTGGGTTTCCCGTGTAGGAGTGGTCGAGTTGCAATTTCTGAAGGCAGATGCAGGGCCAGCTGTAGCAAAAAGTCCTGGACTCACGACATGGTCCCTGCGGCCCTGGGGAGCCCTAGAGGAATGGGTCAGTGAAGCCCAGTGCTCCCCAGCAACAGGGTGCAGGGGAAGAGTACCCTGCGAAGCAGCAGGGGCTTGGGAGCTCTCAAGATGAGACCCAGCCCCACCAGAACCTCCTGATTCGCAAAGGGGCAGCCCCTAGGAGACTTCTTCCCCTCTGGTCTGCCCAGCACCAGGAGAGGGGTTCTCCCCACCTGCATCCCCAAGCATGGGGACCCCAGGGTCTCACTGCACGGGTCACACCAGCAAGCCTGGCTGGAGGAGGGAGCCCCGCAGGAAGAGCACACAACTCCAGCCAAAACATGCCATTCCCTCTAAAAAAGCAATCATGTGGAAAACAGCAGCTAATGAAGAGGCCTGTCTTCTGCACAAAGAGGGAATGGATAAAACAGACCCTACACACTTGGGTGAAGGAATTGTTTTTGTTGTAAAATCTCTTTCATAATGTTTCATAACTGAAAACCAACCCCAAAGCATGCAGACACTGCTGGAAATAACAACCCTTTCCACTCACTACAGTTCACCCTGCCAGCAGTCCACGGTGGGATGGCACAGGCTGCAATATAAAGACCACAGTATCTCAGAGGAACATAAGGAGGACTGCTCTGTAACATACCCGAGGACCAAACACTGTAATGATATTTTCAGCCTTGGAAACAAACAAACAAACAAATCTATAAAACTTACTCAGTAAATTCTATTACTGTGAAGTTACTGACCAGGATTGTTGATTTGCTGCTGGTGTATCTCACAGCCAGAGCTGGTCCCTGAAGGACAGCTGACACTGAGTGACCTGAACCTAAAACTGATCAACACCTAATTCTGGCAACTCAGGGAAGTTGTGTGGTGAAGGCTTTGGCAGCTTTTCCTGATCTGCATCTCAAATACAACCATTTGCACCCCAGCCTCCTGAGAGGTGCTGCAGAAGCACTCTGGCAAGGCTGTGGAGGAAAGCCAGCTCTTCCAGGGAAGGAGCCTGCTGCCTGCACTGGGCCTGTTCCAGTGCTACTGGTACTGAAGGATGAGTCCATAGTAGCAGGCAGGCACAAGACACTAACAGTCCATAGTGAGGGGTGCTAACCTTTTCACCTTGTTTTCTATGGATCCAGGTCAGCTGGAAAGCACTTGTGCCTTTCTGAAGCACTGCAGTGCCAGGATGGTGCCAAGGACAGCACTTCGGGGGGAGGGGGGGGGGGCTAATGACAGTGCCTGCCCTGATTAGAGTTCACTACCTGGAAACTCTCCCTAGGGACATACTGCTGACAGAGATCTGCCAAACCCAGCAAGGACAGGACTTGGAAGGCATATCAGCAGCTCCAAAATTCAGCATCTATAAGCAGTTCTTTAATAGAGCATGGTTGTCGTGAAGCCTTCATCCTACCAGTACTCTCAGACATATGCAAAGCAGGATAATGCTTCTCTCCTCAGAAAAGAAACAACAAAAAGAACCAGGAGAGCCTGACCTCAGCTCAGGAACAAGGGTTTGAAAAATAAAGGGCAAACAGAATTGCCACCAACACCCAAGACAAAGGCTGAAAACAGCCCAAACGCAGCAGTACCACCCATGGAGGGGGTACTCCATCCATGAGGAGCTCAGCTCCCACTTAGTTCAGAACAGGGGCCCCAACATCTCTCCACACATGTGTCTGGGAACAACTCCCACCCCACAGGGCAGGAAAACAGGCTGACATTCAGAACCACCACATTAAGGTAAAGAGCTCTGAATGTGAAGTGGACTTGCTCACTGCGGACTGCTTTCAGGAGAGTTGCTGTCCTCCTGTTGCATTTTTGTACCATCAAGCTGGGCTTTACCCACTTTTCTTGCTTTTGGTTAGGAAAACACTGAAACGGCCCTTTCCTCAGGACTCCTGGCAGTGGAAGCCATGAATGTCCTCCAGAACTTTATGAAGATATGCAAGAACTCCATATATACAGTCAAAAATAGGTTTACTGGAATGTCTTTAGTCACAGTTGTAAGCAGCAATACTGAAAACACTGAACTTGTGCATTCCCATGGCAGGACCAGAAAGTCTTCTGGATTGTAAAACCTATTAATTCCCCCCCCCCTTTTTTTTTTGAACAACAGAGAAAAAACACCCTTGCAGTTCTCCACAGAAGGGTCAGTTCCCTGTAACATAATGGTATGCTTCTCTTCAGACATCTTTTCCTGTCCTTTACTCCAGTGAAGGGACAGTCCCCTTAGCCTGCCACAGCAGGCAGCAGGGAACTGCTCAAGTGGTATTTTTATTATTAATATTACAACTCGACCATATATACAGATAGACTGTAGTGGCAAGTAGCCAGTTCCAAACCAGAGCCCCAGAATTCCACAAAACAGGCAGTTTGGGAACAGAATCTTCTGTTTTATATAAAAGAAAAAACTAAATCTGACAGCAGGAGCAGGTACTCAACCAAAAAAGGGTCATTTGGCAGTTCTTAAAACACTGTTAGAACTGGCTATTTGCCACTGCCTCCTCACTCCTTGGAGAAAAACAACTTCAAAGCTATATACAGATATCTCACTTAAATTACACAGCAGTTTGGTTATCCCAGAGCCAGCTCCACCAAAGTCTCCAGCTGCCTGGTCAGGTATGGTACTTCAGGACTATAGGTACTGGAAAACAAAGAAACAAGCTCTCAGCCACACACCTTTGCATGCAACAACCCTCCCTGCTAGAGATTCCCCCCCCATTCCTGTAGCAACAAACACCAAACATCTGTGAGAGAAAGTGTGTTTCCAAGCTCAAGCTAATACAATCTGTGCCTGCACACATGCTAGACAACATTTCCTACCACCTTCATCTTCTTCCAGCTTCCCTAACTGAAACCAGATGGGATTTTCCATCACTCTCTCTCACTCTACAACGCTCTGGCACTGCTGCTAGCTCTGCCTCTCCTGCTGCAGGCTGTGTGTCAGGAGGACAAACAGGCCATCAGGGTTTGGCTGAAGTAACAAAAACAGTTACAGAGCTGCCCCCGGCCACAGTGGGTGAGAGGAAAACCCTCCAGACCCAGTAGCACAGAAAAGCAGTGCTGCCATGCAGGGCTGCTTGGATCCCTATAGCACATCATTCTGCAGGCAGAGGGCTGAACTACTTCTGCCTGGAAGAAACATGCTCTGGTTGTTATTACTTATCTGGGAGGGAAAGCAGTGGTGTCACTGCTATGGGGAGCTCCAGAGAGACTGGGAAGGGCAGAGGGCAGCGGAGGGGACCAATGTCAGATCCACAACAGCTACTTGGTGAGAATTAAGCACAACGGTTCTGGGGTAGAGCATGTGCAGGGAGCAGACCCATTGCAAGTTGGCTGATAATATGTGGAGAGGTCTTTGGAAGCCATTGTTCTGGTTGAAACTCTTCCACCTATTCCCACCAGCCTCAGGATCTATGGGTGCCAGCCCTGGATCAATCCAGTGTTGCCTAGGCAGCGCTGGCTTTCTTTGGCTACAATCAGCAAGACTTGGTTTGAGCCTGCCCCTCCGCATGCACATTTAAGTCTTGCAGAAGAGGAGCACAGAGTGATCTACAGGCACCACTTAGGACATGTTAAGGCAGAACAGGGCCTGGCACAGTGGCTCAGGTGCTCTCCCACAGGAGCAACAGCACTGTGGTGGCACTCACTATGCCAGACATGGCTGAGGTGACCTGGAGCTACTCACCAATGATCACAAGCAGAAGAATGACTGCCACCAGTGCTATGATTGCCTTCATCTGCAAGAGGAGCACAGAGGCATGTTACACAGGGTGCCATATGTAGCTGCTCTGACCTGAAAGAAGGCCTTTGCCCTCCAGCATCTTTTCAGCTAGAAAGCAGAACTTCTCCATCCCCTCTGCTGTTCCTGTTGTTGCTCACCTTGCAGCCTCGCCACCACATCTGTCTCCGAAGCTGCTTGGCTCTGTTGCTAAAAGCTGTGGCATTGTCTGATAAACTTTCTATCAAAGGAAAGAAAAGAGGTGATTCAGTGGCACACAGAGGGCGTTGGAGCATCCGCTCATTCAACTGACTCCACTCAGTTTTAAGCAATAAACTCTGCATTAGTGGAAAAGACCCAACCGCAGCGTGATTCACCAAAGCCACAGCAGACGCCAATGTGACGCCCTTTGCTAGAGCACACACAGACCTGCCAGAGTCCCACTGAGCCCCCTTTGTACTGGCTGCCCTCCAACGACAGGATTTTGATCTGCTAGCCAGCAGGGGAGCAGACAGCAGAAGTGCTCCAGGCCACTGTGAAACAGATCAATCTACCTTTGCTTGAAGGACCAACCATATCACAGTACCCAAATGCCTCCAAACTAATGCCCCTATGCAGAGCAGAAGGCGGAGGTGGAAAGGGAATGTCAGCAGAAAGTCAGATCTGCAGCCTAAGGCTGTGATACACCTCTCCCAGGAAGGGCAAAAATACAAGCCAAGGTCTGTCATTCTGAGCTGAAAACAGGTAACCTGGCCCAGCAGCAGGGAAAGAGATGTGGGGAACAGATCAGCAGAGCTGCATTTAGCATCGCACCTGATTTGTCCTGCAGGTCATCCAGCCGCTCGCCTCTTTCAATCACCTTTGTGATATTCTCTTGCATAACGTCGATGACTTCATCCACCTGATTCTGGACACTAGAGCAGAGCAAAGGCAGCATGAAGAGCAGAAGCAAACACCACCAGCTGTACTCTGCAGCACCAGCCCTTGCTCAGAGCTGCCCAGGCTCGCAGGATCCCTGAGGTCACTGACAAAAACTGAAGGGGACAACACTGGAGGGAGGTTGATGGGATGCAAGAAAGCAAGAGGTATGGCATCACCTGGGGTGGGTCTCTGGCAATCCCAGGAAGGGTGAGAGAACACAAGGGGCTCAGAGGGTACTGGGAAGTCAGTAGACATAGGGTACCCTCTGTAACATCTTTAACACCCAAATGCAGTAAGAAAAGGTATGAGTTGCTGTTGGTAGGCACCTGTGCTGCAGAATAGCTCACAGAAGTTAAAGTATAAAAATTACACCTTATCTTTCCAGATTTCACAGAACCTTGCAATGCACCTTTGCTAAGTAACTAGGGGAAAATAAAGGTGCACTCATGCCTCTGGGAACCGATTTGCTAAATGAATCCCACTCTGCCAGGGGTGTCAAGAGAACAGTAAAGAAATTGGCTTATATGAACTAAACCAAGTTATTATAATTCATCTTCTCATAGGTTACGCAACTCTGTGGGTAGTTGCTTCAGTGAACAGTAGCCTAAAATCACACCCGCAGGGTTATTATAAATGCATTTATTCATTCCATTAAAAAAAGGCACATTGGTAAGACAGAAAAATTCTCCTGGTGGAAAAATACTGCTACATTCTGGTTTGTATTTTGGAGCTAGTACACTTTGATTTTCCTGGAGACAGAAATAAGAAATTTCTTGGGCCCCTAGGGAGACAATACATTGTTTGAGACATACCGTTCCCAGAAAGTAAGTGGCAACAGCAATGTACTGGAGGTAATGCGACACACACGCAGGGCAACAAACCAGAAATAGCTCCAGGCCACTCACTCTGCATAAGTCTTAGGTTTGACAGCTTAGGTTGCCTCGATTAAAAACATTTAAGCACTTTAAACGTATCAAAATGCATCCAGGATTTGCTAAATATGCAGCACAAATAGGCCACTTCAGCAGCATTCCACATTATCATAAACACACACCTCCTATTAACAGTGTGGCACTGGTGTCCCCAAGGGAAAGGATTGCCAGCACCTTGTCTTTAGCACCTGCTTAGCATCCACAGTCATGCTCCCCAAATTATCTAGTCATACCACCTTCTTCAGACCATACAAAACCCTCTCCTCCCCACTGCCATCTCACAGATGCAGAAGCTCGATGTTTTTTGCCAAATCAGGGTTTTACAGCAGCACTAGACCCAACTCCACTACTCAGAGAGCCATCATCCAGCACCTAAGCTCAGAGCACTTGATATGATGATGGACAGTATTATCCTCCACCATGGCCCAGGAAACCAGGCCCAAGAGAGACTCAGAGCAATTTGCCCATGGCCAGTCAGTGGGGCACTGCAGAATCAGGAGCAGGGCTCTGTTCCAGCCACCAAACCACTAATTAATTAACTAGAGACATAGGTTCACATTGACCTATTTCTCCTGCCTCCCTATCAGCTACATGCGGCTCACAGAGCAGATCATAGATGACAGTTTAGGTGTTTGTAGGAGGTACAGAGCCCCCAGGCTCCAGTGAGATGCTTGCACCAAGTGATGAGCAGCTGCCACAAGCACTAGTGGTCACAAAGGAAAAGCACATGCCTTGCTCACATTGACTTACGATTCCAAACACAGCCAAGGAATATCATTAAAAGGCTTCCCCCCCCTCCAAAAAAGCTCTAAAACAAGCTCCAGATCTTTGAATATGAAGGGGCTTCCATCTTAGCATTTTAGCTCAGGCTCTGTAGCACCACTGTGGCTTCCAGAGCTGGAACAGTCAGGCAACACCTCTGAAGCCAGTTTCTGATTTAACAGCCCTCGTGGCACATGCTGGACTCCAGCAATGCATATGAAAACTTGCTTTATTTAGGACACCACAAGAAAGGAACCTGCCTTCCCTGTGCTACATCGCAGAGTTTGTGGGAGCAGCATCTCTGAATCCACCTACACTGTGCAGTGACAGCCACATGCCAGGAGTTTCTTATCTGGAGGGGAAAGGCACAGATAATCCCCAAACACCTCTCAGCAGGAGCGTGCCCTGTGCCCATGACCCTATCCCGATCCTTTTACAAGGTATGAGGCAGAGCTGCCACCGTTGAGAAGGCATGGAAGGTGGCACTGAAGATGCAGGCAGATGCTGCCTGGGAAATGTGGTGGTGCCTGTGGAATAAAGTGTTCACCCCACAGAGGACACGCACAGCCCTGTGGCCCTTTCCTGGGGCAGCAGGTGAGGACGTGAGCAGGAGGCATGCTCTGCAAAGGGGGTTTCCTTACCTCAGCACAATGGGCAAGTCCCAGCTCAGAGCTGCCAGCAATGCTGCTATAGCTTGGGGTGAGAGAAGAAAAGCGGAAACATCTGCTATTTTGCTTGGCAAAAACTAAAATGCTTTAAACATCAGTTTCACAGCAGAAGACTACATCTGCAGTATGTAAATGTTTCTAGAATAGTTCACTGGCTGCAAAATAAAGAGATTTCCTCCCACAACAGATCTGTGACCAAGTTATCTTGGTACAACTAACAAGTGGGAGCACACACAGTTACAATGCATCTAGGAATGTGCAGAGCAAGGCACCACCCGGTATGCCTCAAGTACAAGTCAGCACCTGGGACGCTGCTGTGGTCCTGAGGCACCCCAAAGTGTTCAAGGCAAAGTGGGCAGGTATGTAATTTGAAGCTGCTCTGGTACATCAAGCATTTGGAAGAGACCTATGGAGCACAGACCCTACTGCCCAAGCTGCATCTCAGCATCGCACCTCTTTTCACTTGAGCTGCTGGCAAAAAATTGTGCACCTCTGCTACCTGCGCATAGCTTGGGCATGCTGTTAGCCATCCCCAAATGAACAAAGCATTTCACAGATGGAGAGTGGAAGCACAAAGAAATCAAGGCTTAAACTCTTGCAAATATTGAGATGTTTAACTCCCATGGAACACAGACACATTTGAGCACCCCAGTACTTCCTGGTGCTCAAATCAATCTGATGCAAAGAGAACCTGGAAAATAGCAAGGAAGAAGAGAGCAAGCCAGGGAATGAAACTTCGTTCTTCACACAGTGCTCTAGCCAGACCTTAGGCCAGCCCTTGCTTTCTTTCTTTCCCATCCATCACTGCTGCAAGACATGCTTCTCTGGGAGGGGTCTGAAAGGTGCCCAGCCTATTCATTAGCCCTGCAGTTTCACAACAAATTCAGAAATTCTCATTCGTTTGGCATGCTTAAGGTTGGAAATTCAAGTCACATCAAGAAGAAAATATTTTCTTGTTTCATTTGGCAAGAGAGAATGAATCTTCTAATATGAAGTGTATTTCCTGTTAGGGAGATACTGGCTTTTGACACATGTATTTCATGTGCTTCACTCCTGCCAGATTTACAAGAGAAATGAAGGAGAATACCTGCCAGGAAAGAAAGCAAGACAAAAGCATAAAATATGCCTCCCATGACCCTCCTTCTTACTAATTGCGGCATATATGATGCTTTAAATAAGGACAGCAAGTGTACACTATCAAAGCAACAAGAGACTCAACAGCACTCATCTTGCTTTAGGCTCCTCTTTTCTTAGTGCTTTGCTGGGTCCAGAGTGGGAGGAATAAACCTTCCCATTTTGGCTACTCCAGGTTAGCTACTGAGAAACTCCCTGGGATGGTCACAATGTTTGCCTAACAACAGTGGCGCATTCTTCAGACACCATAAACAGCCCATACACGCGCCATGGGATGCGCTGCTCAAGGCTGCTTCTTGTCTCCAAGCTGGCTGTTTACAGCTAGCATGACACACTTACATTTTCCACCCCAGTGTTATTAATAGTGCTATGTATTTTGGTGCAAATTAAACCCAAACATCCCTCGTTGTGGCAGTAACCCAGGCAAGAGGGAACAGGATGGAGAGCCAAGCTGGATGGACAGTGCAAAGGCAGGAGGCCAGCCAAGCACAGTGTTCTCCAAGGCATGTCTCTCTGCAGAGAAGCTGCCCAGCAGAAAGCCCTGCTGTACTCAACAATGGGGTGTCAGCACTAAACCACGCCACAGATAACGGGGTTTTTTTGCTGTTTCATCCCAGCTGTGAGGAAGACAGCAGCCAATGCCTCCCTGAAGCCTTCAGTCCTTGAAAGGATTATACCTAACAATGATGCCTGTCAACATGGTCTCAGTATCACCTTTAAATGAAAGCTTGGACTATGGCTGGGGTCCACTGCACAGCCAGCAACCTGTGATAAGCAGCCAGGCCCTGTGATGCTGCTGTCAACTCTTGCCTTGAAACCATTCCCCAAACCCTCCCCCTCCTCCAGATGTAACTTAGAGACAGACAGAACCACTGAAGCCGAGCTCCAGTGCTGGCCACCCTCAGCAATACAACTGGGGAACCACAGACTCCTGGGGAACCATGGCAGCATGCTCAGCCTCATCGCCAGCACAACCAGGGCCAGCAGCAGTCACCTGAAAGCAGAAACATCAGCAGTGTAGGAGGTGAAGCAGCACAGAAAAGGGGGTGATTTTAGTAGTGTTTTTGAAAATATAACCTGCAATGAGAGGCTCCTGTTCTAAATAAAACAGGTGGAAGATGAATATCTCGCCTTCCCCCAAAAAGGCAGTAAGAGCTCTCATGACACACACTCAGTACTTCTCACACGGCCTGAAAGCAAAAGCAAAGAGAGCAGCTCTCCCTTACCTATTCTTTGTAACTTTTGGGAAAAGGATAGAAGGTTATTAAAAGCTGCTTTTCAGCTGCAGCTCTCCCCAGGGACAGGGAGGTCGCAGAAGGGAGCCTAAGGAACCTCATGCAGCCACTTAATTACCAGGAGTGTCTCCCCCAACCCAGCAGCTGTTGGGACAATAGAGCTTGAACCTCCAGACACATAAGGATGAAAATGCAGCACAGAAGGGACTGTGACACTTTCTCCTGTTGCTATTGCTGCCTCTAAATCAGCTCTTTTCCCTATGGAATTTGCAGTGTTCCCCACCATCTCCTTCTGCAGCTGAGCCAGCTTTGAGGGTCTCTGCTGCCAAACTCACCACCCTGACCCAAGTTCCTTCGCTGCCAAAGACAACTAGGAAAAGTTTCCAGTCTTGTCTCTCACGTCCAATGTATTTCACACCTTTGCTCCCATAATCCCATCATCTTTGCCTCTATCCAATCCTGCATCCAGTTTCCTTTTACACCCATCTTCACACCTTGTTCCTCCAGACACAGCTAGTCTCTAGCTTTAGCCAGCTATGCCTCAGCATTCTAAATGCTCAAATTCCCCCTTAAAATGTCTTTTCCTTACAGTGTTTCAGCAATAACTGAAACCCAACCCTCCTTTTCCTCCTCACTGCAATAATACAGAGTGAACTGTATTATTCCTCTACCTAAGCCCCTCCTTTAGAGGACAAAGGCATAGATGTCACCCCCTCTACACCTTTTTAGAGGGCAGAACCCCACTGATAAAACCAAATCTCATCCCTCTCATCCACTCCAGATCAGCCTGGCCCTGACCTAGAGGGAGGCTTTATCCATATTGGCTTACCCTAAGGACCAGCTCACCTCTGTCAACTGCATCCTCACACCTTGGAGGGAACAGAGACCTCCTGAAAACACAGGGCACAGTGACCAACACAGTACCTCTTATAACTCAAGTGCCCTTCATCTGTCAAGGTAATGTGGCAAGCGGGCACACAGGCAGGCACTAACACTGGCAATGAGTCATCTCAGAGCTTGCTCTGCCTTTTTCCTGGCATGAAAAAAATCCCTAATGAAGAGCAACACTCAGGCTGCACACAGGTCAACACAGTCTGAGTAATGCCTGGTCATCAGTCCCTGCATACATCTCTGTTCTGGCTCCATGAAGATCACCAAAGGAAACAGTGCAACACAAATCAGGAGTCTCTGAATATCCCCCCCTTTTCCATTAAATCCTACCATTGCATCCCTCATAAATAAGAGCAGGACAAACTGGAACCCAGAACAAGCATCATCCAGGAAATGACCCAATGGGAGAAGGATCCAGAGTGTTCACTCCTTCCTTCTTGCCCTAATACAGTCAGTAATCCTCCTCCAGCCATAATGGTTTCCTGTTTTCCAGCTGCTTTGACCCCACTGAGTCACTGCTTATCTTCAGGTGACCTATATCAGGTTTTTGTCTTAAGAAGAGGCCAGAGAATAGCTACTGTCCAAAAAACATGGTCTTGGTGTGTTCCTGACCACTTGCTTTCTTGTAATGTTGAGGAGCAAGTTACAGGATGAAATAAAAAGCAACAAAGAAAAAAAAAATAAAAAAAGGGTGCTAGCAAAGGTTAGAATTCAGGGTTAATGTTCTAGAGAGTGAGCCTCATAAAAGCAGGAAACAGATCATCATCAGAATACAGCAAGAGCTTTAGAAATTCCACTGGTCTACTGCAATACAATCCTATCCCTTTGCCTCTGTCAATGCATGTTTTCTTGACAACTTGGATCAAATTTGAGATTTCTCTTAGCTGTGGACATGTAGGGAAGGAAATGTCAGTTAGAAGAAAGCAAGTACAAGCCATGTTCATATTCCAAAGAAATACATAGTTAAGACAGCGCAGGAGCTCACAGTGCCAGAATAAAGTATTATCTGTGTGGCACTGAGGAACAGCAACTTACTGCCTGATCTTGTCATTCCTAGGTCCAAATCTTGGTCCAGAAGGCCCTCTCCTGCAGGCAGAAAAGAGCAATCAGGATGGAAGGTACAATGAAAACATGCTTGTAAACCAGACTCAAAAGATACACAACAGAGGATCAACGCCTTGTGGACAGAGGATTGTTCTCATACCTCGCATCAGTCCCTCCCAGGCCTTAGGATGCGTGGGACACCCCAATCTTATAAAGGTCACACCTATTAAATCTAATTCATGCTCGATGCCAAGCCTCATCTCAAAGGAATAAAAGGGCTTGATTCCCAAGTCCCCCCTTACAAGGCAAAGGAGCAGCTTTTGGTATTCGACACCTGCAGTCTTGGAGCTTAGACAGTTAAGACATTTCATTCCCTAGAGCAGCCATTCAGAAACTCACAAGAAAAAGTCTTCCTCTTCATCTGAATCTTCTTCCAACAGGTTCCTCTGCAAGCACAGAAAAGAGGCAAACCAAATCAACAAGCAACCACCATTTCCCATACACACTTCCAGCTCTTAAGACACAATCAGGATCCTCTGACTGCAGGTTATGTGCAAGCCCTCCTTTGGAGGGGATTGACAGTACTCTTGTTTGGAGTCACTCTGTTTCTCTCCCCTTGTGACCAAGGTCTGAACTGGATGTCTCTGTCCTGCTATTATCACTTTAGCAGTGTTTGCTAACTCTGCAAGCATGGACTAATGCATAGCTCTGCAGCTCTGACTCGGGACAACTTGCACCTCTGCTGCTGAGCCAAACTGGATTTATATCAATGGCCAGTTGCCTGCAAAGGTTCAAATCCCAGTTCCAGGGGTCAGTACAACTCCCTGTGATGCAGAAGCAGCCAGTGTCAGCAAGCAAAAAGCAGAGCCCCTGCACAGGCCAGCTGTGGAAGGAAGCTCCTGTTTGTTCAAGGGACAATCCCCAGTGCTGCACTTTGTCAATGGCAGCTACTCAAAGAACATCAGCCACCCTGAAGTGTCCCATCCACACGGGAAGTTGGATTCACTCTGAATGTGGAGGACACTGGGAGTGTCTCCACCCATCTAATGGCAGCAGATGCAAGGATGACTGCAAGGAAACATGCTGGGCTCCCTGTAAGGCACGTCCAGAGAGGTTGGCCCTTCCAAACCCTCAACTCAAGCAAAAGCCATGGCCAGTCTGGAAAGCAGAATGGTCTCGTAGCTCCTCTGCTTTGCACCAAAGGGCTCCTCCTGGGCTCAGATCTGCTGTTCCGCTGTACTACATCAGACAGTCCAAAGCCTGATTTTTAAGAGCAATCCCACTTAAGCCTGAAAGTTTCAGACAGACAGTACTAGAGTTCATTTCTCATAACAGGGCAGCACAAATTCTCCAATCGAGCCAAGAGCTCCCTAGAACATCTACTTAGGGTCAAAAAAAAAAAAAAAAATCAAGAGTGGGAATGGCACACTAAGCATGTGGGCCTAGGAACACACAGGATTGTCCTTATGGTATCGAGAGCTGCTTCCTCTGTGCATAAACTGCAGCTCCCACCTGAAACACAGTACTCTTATTTTAAAGCTCACCTGCATTTCCAGCCTTGTCACATTTGCTTAATCTACTTAAGCAAACAGCAAGACAACAAAATAGTTTCAGCCACTGCCTCCCTCAAGGGCTGAGCAAACTGCTCTTTGGCAACACAGGATCCTCATCTTGCCGATGGCTGTCATGAACCGTAACAACATTTAAGACTACGGTCTAAACACAGTTTTAGCACAGCATGACCCCAGAACAAACATATCACTTTCAATCCACTTTGTCTAAAACAGGCAGCTGCACCACTTTGACCTGTATTCAAGGCCTGAAACATCAGGGGAACTTGGTGATAGGGAAAAAAAAATAATGACCTGTAAAGCACAGGGTAACTTCACAAGAGTCCTTCAGCCAGTAACGCAGGGGAGAGCTGTGATGCCCAGGCCTAGCTGTGCAGAGGCAGGAAACTGGAGCACACCAGGATCTCAGAGCCTGAAGGAACTGAATCAGGTTCCCAAGACAGGATCTCCAAGTGAGGTTTGTTTTAAAACACAAAGATGAGGTTTGCTGCACGGACAGTGCCCCCACTAACTAAATGTCATTATCGACAGCGACCCGGGCTTCTAGGCCCCGTAGCCACGGGACATAGAGCAGCCCCTTCGGCAAAGGGAGCCGTAGCTCACCTTGCACCGGCCGACCCAGCGGCTAACGGCACGGGGCAGTGCGGGGACCTTAGGGTCCCCAAGGTGCGCTAACAACCACCTGCCCTCCGTGGGCGCCTACCCCGGGCACCGCTCCGGACCGTAACGGCCACCAGCACCGGAAGGACCGGCCGCCCCACAGCGCCGGCACTCACCCGCTCGCTCTTCACAGAGCCCGTCACCTCGTCGTCGTTCAGGTGCCGCTTGAATTTCGGGGGCATGGTCTCTGCCTGCGGGAGAGGCGACTTCGTGCCCGGGAGGAGAAGCCTGCCGAAAAGGTGCAGACACGGGCCAGGTCACCCCGCTGTTCCATGACTCAACCGCGCGGTCCAGGCCGCTCCTTGCCAGGCCCAGCAGGAAGTGACAGAGCCCGGCGGGCAGCCGGGGAGCCCTGCACGGTGTCCCCGGAAGGGGAAGAGGGAAAAGCGGAAAGATAAAACAAGGATGCAAGAGCCGCAGGGCAGGGGGAATGCAAGGGCAGCCGGTGCCCTACACCCGCACTTTCACCGGGGCCCGCCGTTCCGGTCCAGCCCGCCGGTGCCACGGGGGCCGCCAGCAAGCACAGCCAATGCCCAGACAGAGAAACCCAACCCCTGTTGGGACGCAAGAACCCACCACGGCACCCGCACTCACCGGACTCCACTCCGGGCCGGGCCAGGCCGGCGGGAAATGGCCGGTGCTGCGGCTGCGAGTCAGCTGTCCCATCGACCGCCTCGGCGCTCCACCCACCGCGCCGAGCGCCGAGCAATCGATTTCCGACTAGAGGGCAGGGTCGGGGCGGAGCCTGGACTGTGCCGGGGCGTGGCCTCCCCGGGGGCGTGGCCTGGGGCCGGGAGCCGGCGGGAGGTGCCGGGGCGAGGGGCGGCCCAGCCCGGTACCGCGGGAGCTGGCACGGGACACCGGGGCTGGCCCGGCCCGGCCCTGCCCTGTGCTATGCCTCCCTGTGCTATGCCTCCCTGCCAGCAGCCGGGGGTTCCGACCGTCCCGGCCCTCGGCATCACCCCTGGCACACAGCCCCGGCAGCGAGAGCATTGGCGGCGGCCGCAGGCTGTCGGAGTTCGGCCAGCGGCCTCGGGGAGTCTGGGCGGGGGGGTGCCGGCTGCTGCTGGGCGAAAGCCGCCACCGCCGCCACAGGCATCTGGAAGGTTCTGGCTCGTCCGTCCCCCCTCCGCCCTGGCCCTCTCCCCTCCGCCCTCCTGCCCTATAAATGCGGGCGTCAGCACGGAGATATCGACGGCATTGATAGTGCGGGGTCATGCTGGGGGCCTGGCTTGTGCTCTTGGGGGGCCTGGCACTGGGCTGCCGGAGCGAGAGAGCCTTTCTAAAGCGTGCGGATGACAGCACCGGGCGTTGTACCTACTCCTTCACGGTGGCCAGCCCCGTCGAGGCCGCCTGCCCCAATGCTGGCGGCGGGCCCGAGCTGCGGGCAGAGCTGGCGTCCCTCGCCGCACGCCTGAGCCGGCTGGAGAGCAGGGAGCGGGGCGCGGGGGGCTCCGGGCCACGCGGGGTTGAGGCGGGAGGAGCACGGGACTCCCAGCAAGCAGCCCCGTCCGGTGGCCTGGAGGACTCTTATGGCGAGCTGCTTCGGGCCAAGTCCCGGCTGGAGGAGGAGAAGGGGCGGCTGGAGCTGGAGAACGCAGAGCTGAGGAGGCGGCTGGAGAGCAGCGCCCAGGAGATTGCCCGGCTGCGGGCCACCCGCTGCTCCCCCGGCGGAGAGGAGCCCGACCGCGAAGCCCTGCGTGTCCCCGGCAAAGGTAAGGGTCAGGGCCGGGACCCTGTGAGCAGCCCTGGCACCGACTCTCCGCAGAGCCTCTTCACTGCCGCCTGTGCAGTGCACCCACTGCTGCCCCGTTCTTGGGGACCACGGCAGGTGCTCAGGCGGAGGGGTCACAGCCCATTGCAGCAAACCCCCTCCCATCCCTAAATCAGGGCTGGCAGCCCGAGCCCACTCATCCCACCATCCACCCTACAGCAGAGGGGGGAATGCAGGGGTCTGTGCTCATCTGGGGGCTTAGGAGGTTCCCTGAAGGAACATTAAACTCCAGACCAGAGGGGTAACAGCATCAGCGGTTGCAGAGCAGCACCCCCATCAGCAGGTCGCAGATGTGCTCCACTGCAGCAGAAGCAGGCACTGGGCTCCTGACAGGGATGTTGGTGTTGTGGGGTGGCAACAGTCCATCATGGAAACCCCCAAAGGGGGGGGGAGACGACACACAGCTGTGGTGGTGAGGGGAGCTGGCTCAGACCCTGCTCACATTGCACCTTGCCCCACTGCAGCCCCTCGCTGGAACCCGCAGCCCCTCATGTACCAGGAGCTGCAGTCGGAGAGGACAGAGGTTCCCGCATCCCGGATCCTGGAGGAAACTGCACTCGGCCGCCCGGGGACAGAGGACTCAGGTACAGCCACCGGCATGGCTGGCCCCATGTTTCACTGCTAACAAACACTGCCTGGCCCTCCTGAGGGGCTTGCTAGGTGCAGCTACTGTCAAGCAATAACCCCTTTCTCTTCCTTCCTGTCCCCGAGCAGGCTGCGGTGAGCTGGTGTGGGTTGGGGAGCCTGTTGTCTTTGGCCAGGCAGACTCCATCGCTGGCAAGTATGGTGTGTGGATGAAGGACCCCGAGCCCGTGCCCCCCTTCACGCGGGAGACCACCTGGCGCGTGGACACAGTGGGCACGGAAGTGCGCCAGCTCTTCCAGTACGAGGCGGCTGAGCAGCTGGCCCAAGGCTACCCTACCAAGGTTCACATCCTGCCGCGGCCCCTGGAGAGCAACGGTGCTGTCATCTACCGCGGCGGGCTCTTCTTCCAGCCCCGCCACTCCCACGCCGTGGCCCGCTACGACCTGCGGACAGAGGCCATCACGGCTGAGAAGGAGATCCCTGGTGCCGGCTACCATGGACAGTACCCCTATGCTTGGGGGGGCTACACCGATATTGATCTGGCCGTGGATGAGACGGGGCTCTGGGTGATCTACAGCACCGAGAAGGCTCGGGGGGCCATCATCCTCTCCAAGCTGGACCCCGAGACACTGGAGATCCAGCAGACCTGGGAGACCAACATCCGCAAGCGGGGAGTGGCCAATTCATTCATCATCTGTGGCACCCTCTACACCATCAGCAGCTACTCAGCGCCCAATGCCACCATCAACTTTGCCTACAACACAACCACTGGCACCAGCCGGGCCCTCAGCATCCCCTTCAAGAACCGCTTCCGGTACCTCAGCATGGTGGACTACAACCCCACCGAGCGGCAGCTCTTTGCCTGGGACAGCTTCAACATGGTCACCTACCCCATCCGCCTCTCCCAGGTGTGAGCCGGGGCCGTGTTGGCTCAGCCCCTCTGACCCCTGTATGTGCCTCAGCACCCTGCTTTGCTCCCCAGCTCCCCCCAGCACGGCCAGGAGTGCCTCCTCAGCCAGCCCTAGGCAATGGTGGGGGCCACACGCTGCTCAGCCACAGCATGATGGGGCCACCAACATCCCCAGTGGCACCTCCGGCGGCAGCCCACTGTGAGTGCAGTGGGGAGAAATTAAGTGCTTCTCTAGAACCTTGTCAAGCCACTGGAGCGTCTTTCTGGGTTTTGAATGAACCACTCCTGCATCCTCTGGGAGCAGCCATGCTAAGCCCCCTGAATCTGAGGAGGGAGGGCTCAGGCACAGTGAAGACTGGGCAAGGCAGTGGTGGAGGTAGGGAGAGGCTGTCTGGGAAGGTCCCACCTTATGAATAAAAGCTTTCCCTGGTTGCAAGCAGCAATCCCCTCTGTGGGACCAAGGTTTGTGTTTCCAGGGTCTGGCTGAGCACGAGCACCACTGCTGCCCCTCAGCAGCAGCAGCAGTTTTGGGGAGGCCTCCCCACTTCATTCCAGCCTTGCAGAGGAGAGCAGCATTTGCCCACCACCAGCAGCCCTACAGAACGGAGCTCCCCTGCTGAGAGCCCATAAGCCCTGCTGCATCCCACACTGCAGATGCCTGGGGCATTCCAGAGCTCAGCCACCTCCAAAAAGTACCTGTCGGTTTCAAATGCAGCAGGGAATATGGGCACTTACTGTGCAACCTTTGTTTTACTGGGGAGACAAAAAAAGCCAAGAGAGCAGTGGTGAGGAAGGCTGGCAGAGCATCCTGCAGCTGAGCAGCCTCTTGGTGAGCCCAGCCCCTCTCAGCCACGTGCTTCAGGTTAATTGTCTGTGCCTGGCCACCTATGCAGTATGGCCACTGTGGCCCCACTCCCTATGCCAGGCCAAGCCACACTCTTCTATTTATTATAGTAAGTTCGTACAAGGCTGTTTCTCCCCCCTTCCCAGGCACTCGGGACAGACAGGACAGCAGTGGCCCCATCCCTGGGGGGTGCACAGGGTGCTCTCCCAATAGATGCCCACCACCACTGCTGCCTTGCACCTCATCTTTCCAAACCTGGATTTTCCTGGGGGTTGGTGGGCCAGTGCCCCCATTGATGTACCAAGAAGCTGAAGGTGCTGGGGGCAACCAGTAAAGCTTTGGCCAGGAAAACGCCACATTTGGGAGGCAGCTGCTGATGCAGCCAACCCCAAGAGCACCTTTATTTAGCATGTTGTGACATGACCACAACATTGAATCGGAATAAAAGTTAACGCTTCAGCACTAACCCCCAGAGATTTACCACATGGGGAAGATTAGTGAGCTGCAGGTGGCTGGTGCCAGGGGCAGTGTGAGGTGGAAGGGATGAGGACACTGAGGCAGTGCTGGGGGGGTTGGCTGCTCACCAAAGGGAGGGGGCCCAGCTCAGAACCAACCCTGTTCTAGAAGGGCAGGAGACAAAGGGGCGCCAGGGAGGCGAAGGCAGCAGGTGCCAGCTGCAGGCAGCCCACACTCCTCCATTGTGAGGGCTGCCCTGGTGAGTCCTGTGGGGGGAACTGGGGAAGGGCCCTGCCAGACCACTGGGAGGGGGTGGGGAGGGGGTGGGATGGGACACATCCCGTGGGGTCTCTGTTGTGTTTTAAACCCTGCTGGCAACTAAGTACCACATGGAGTATAGCCACCACAGAAGAGACAATATCCAATATTATACAGCATCATACAGCATATATTATACAATATCATACAGCATCATAGTTTAATTCATTGGCCATTCTCACCCAAAATCTGATCTCCTTGAGGTACACTCCAGATTTCCCCATCCTCTCATCACCTACCAAGTGCACCCAGGTCCTGAAGCAAAAGCAGTCCTGTAAGTGAGTTTGACTTTGCCCGAGGCAGGAATAACCCAGACTGGTCTCCCCAGCAGATTCTTTATGTGCACCACAGGAACTTTATCCTTCTCTACAGTGTGTAAAAGTTGTGAATGGGCTGGGCCAGCCCTGTTGGCAGGTCCCCTGGTGTTGACCAACCAGGTGGCCTTTGCTAAGTGTGTATGTACCCGAATGTTTGAAGTCCCACCACCCTTTTCTCTGGGTGGTCCATTGTAAGTTCGATTTTCCCAGAGGCTCGTGCATGGTAGGGGATGTGATATACCCACTCGATGCCGTGCTGTTTGGCCCAAGTGTCTATAAGGTTATTCCAGAAATTAGTCCCATTGTGTGACTTTTTCTGGTGTTTTCATCTCCCCCTACAATAATGTCATCAGTGTTCTGGAGCTTGACCCTGTTCCAGTGCAGTCTGGATCAGTCCGTGGCAGATGGTAGGGCTGTGATTCCACCCCTGGGGTAGTTGGTTCCAAGTGTACTGGAAGCCCCTCCAAGTAAAAGCAAACTGTGGCCTGCACTCTGCTGCCAAAGGAATTGAGAAAAATGCA